TTGAATAACTTGTTTTTTTCTAATAAAATCGATTTCTCTTTTGCGTTCTTCTAGTTCTGTTGGATTTTTTTCTTTCACATCATCATAAAAACTAAGTAGACTAGCAACTTCTATTTCTGCTTGTGCAAGTCTTTCTTTTACTTTGTTGTTTTCTTCGTCTATCTCATCAAGCTTCTTTTTTAGTGCTTCTGTGTCCTCTGAAGGTATCGATGCGTTAATTGGAAGTGGCAGTTGGGATATGCTATCATTGGCTATACTGTCATTAAAATAATTTTCTTGATTAATATCAGTTTCATTCTCAGCATTATTTAATACTGTTGATGTCTTAGTACCTTCATCAATTTGAAGTATATTCAGGGACAGGAGATGAGTTCTCGATGATTGATTGATCTACAGAAGGACAAAATACTCTACAATCGTGAAGTAAGAAGATAATATTCTTCATGAAATTGATTATAGTGGAACAAAGAATATGGGTGATGGTTTCGTGTTTACTGTTCTTTTTACGGTCTATTGAAAACTATGCGGCTTTCTTTTCACAGTAACAAAGCTCAATGATCTAACTCTCCAACAAACTGTACCAAAATATACTTGTTAAAAAATAAAAAGAGAAACAATGGTGTCTGACCTCCCTTGTTCTCTGAATCTGTACTGTCGTCAAGGTCATTTTCTTGATTTCCATTACCTGACGACATATAATTGTTATAATTTTCATTATCGATTGACATTTTCTCTCGTTGTTCTGCTGACATGATTGTCGAAGTTGTTTGCAATGCTTCTTTTAGGCGTCGCGTAGTGAGTGGTATCGGTTCTGAATTGGCCGATAACTGAAAATCTATGTATATAATGTTCAGTGTCTGTGTGTCTGAGCCGGATTAAAGGTCAAAGGTTAAGAATTCCAGAATTTTCTAGAACGTTCAAAAATGTTGTCTACTTCTATAAGTTTCCAGAATGTTCTAGAATTTTCAGGAACATTCGCAAAGGATTCTACGATTATATGAGAAATTGGCTTGGGGGTTAAAGGTCAAAGGTTAAAGGCTAACATTTGTAGAAGGTTCGAGAATTTTCACTGACCATAGATCATGACTCATGAATGGCCAAAGGCCAGTTCAAAAGAATTTTCTAGAAGATTCTCCAGTAGGATTCCTATTTGAGAGCGCCACTATCAACGTAATCTTCGTAGAAAATGACGTTGACGGTGGCGCTCCCAATTGCCGCCCCCGCTTGCCAAAGGGTATAAATAGAGGCGTCGAGTTGTAGATAGATCATTTTCCAAATATCAACGATGACCGATACATCAAACGATTCAATCATGGATACGGAATGTGAGAAGTCAATACCAACGGCACTTGACCACGAAAATAACTCGCATTTAGATGATAGTGCAAAACAATCTCCAGTCGCAACGTCACATGAAAATCCTAACGCAATAACCCTCAGAAGATCACCATCAGAAATGTCCCCTCATAAACTTAAATTAAAGATTGGTGCAATTGTAATGCTTCTTCGCAACCTCGACGTAAAGCAAGGTTTATGCAATGGAACTCGACTCATCGTACGACGGTTACAAAATCATACGATTGATTGTGAAGTCGCAACGGGATCTAATAAGGGAAGCCGAGTTATAATACCTAGAATTACAATGACACCATCTGATACATTTTTGCCCTTTAAACTACGCAGACATAAGTTCCCTATTCGACTTTCATTTGCGATGACAATCAACAAATCACAAGGACAAACATTTGAACGATTAGGACGAATTCTACCACAACCAGTATTCAGCCATGGACAACTATACGTTGCTTTTTCCAGAGTTCGCTCCCTGTCATCTATCAAGATACAACTCATCAAAGACAAGAACAGTGGAAAAAATAGGACTAGAAACATTGTTTTCAAAGAAGTTTTGTAATTTAGTTGTTTTAAAATAAAATGAAAATTGAATAAATAAGCTGCTTTTATAGAACAGAAATAAAGATTTGGATTGTATCCCTGACAACCGTATCCTCACGATAAAACTTCTTTCATTGATAAAAAAGACCTTGCAGTATGCACGGGTTCTCGCTAGTTATCAATATTGGTTGGTCGATTTTTATTATGTTCACTGTTCGATACAAGTTTAGGTATCCAGCGTATGAAACCTCAAATAGTTCGTTGTTTGTTCTCAAACGAGAACTTTAATAAATCGAACATCAGTTTTTCATTTGCTATTGAATCCATATCTATACTGGTGTATCTTTTCAGATTATTCATTGTTTCATCTAATGTCGCATTGGTTTTTGCATCACATTTATACCAAACATTCAGTTGAATTCGAAATTCCATATCATCCATTGTCGGCATATCAAAAACATCTAGACATATGGCAGTATTGAATTGTGCTTCTGGATGTTTCACGAAAAGTATTTGCCATAAAGCATAGCAATCGAAATTCAACATCGATGAACCACGACATCGAACCCATGCTAAATTTTCATGCTGATCCACGCTTTGTTGACAGCGTAGAAATCGAATAGTTGAAACACTATAATCCGCTGCATCAACACTCAAATGAATTTCATGTTGACATTTTTCGCCCGGTTTTATTACTAATGATTTACTTAACTGTTTGGATTCATTGACATCGAAAGCAAACCATTCATTATCAAACAATGGCTTATATTTCCAAATACAGTCTTCTTCCGGTTGAGTGCTTCCTTCAACAATAGGTGCTTTGGGTAGACTTTTTCGCTGCATGGAATATCCAGGATTGAAAATAGTTTGAAAGTACTCTGTAATATGTCCATGAGTTTCTATATTCTCCAATGATGTTTCTTCTGCTTGATTTCTGATAAAATAATTAGCACCATACTCAACTAAATATTTGACTACATCTAAATGCCCTGAGGAACATGCCCCATGTAAGTAAAGCAGTCGAACCCGCTTTAGGAATCACTTTATAATCATCAGCTGTTATAGTTTCAAGTGATAAAGCTCTCTCAATATACTGCTGGTTTTGAGCATTCACAGAGCATCCACTATCAGCTACAAGATACTTGACAAGCTCTATATGACCGTTTTTAGCTGCCGAATAAATTAATGTTGTACCCCATGGACCAAGCTTATCCTTGTATGTTGGATATTTAGTCAGAAATTCTTTTACATGATTTATTTTTCCATCCCATGCAGCTTTAAAAGCATCGATTGAATCTTGAATAGTCTCAAGATCATTAATAAACTTAGGTAGCTTACCGATAGTAAGATTTTCTTTGAATTTTTTTTTATTTTTATCATATTGATATTCATACAGTAAATTAAATATATATTCTTGAAAATATTCGGATAACGTCACCAGAAATTCATTAAATAAATGCCCAATTTGCACAGTTAATGTTTTCATAGTTTTATCATCTGCAGTACTACATGAAAATGTACTGAAGTTGATACTCGATACTACATTGTCTCCGAGAGCATCTATAGGCGATGTTGGATGTTGTTTGAGTTCTTGAAATGCTTTTTGAACAAGATCAATAACAGTTTTTAAGTCTTTTTGTGCTTTTTTGTCGCCTTCATTAATAGCCATACTTGTTGCTTTTATGTCAACATTAAATACGGAAATTAATAATAGAAAAATAGAAATGAATCCACATTAAGAACAACAAGTAGGGAAGAGAACGAGTAACGAAAAGAAAAATCTCTTAAAATCAAAGTTTTCACTGAAGAGAATATTTTTGTCAAGAAAAAGAAAAAAACTCGCGCAATAACAAGAAATAACTCGCTGTGTTTGCATAGACATCATCAATAATAACATAACTAGAAAAAAAAACTGAGTAAAAAAGTTCTGCATACTATATGCTTTAGTGGGTCATTCGATAGAAGCGTTGATGTGTTGTCGACTTCTATTGCATGTGTGAAAGAGAGACTACAGAACCGTACATTAAAACACATGTAATGCGTATGATGAGCCTTCGAAAACGTGGAATATTTTTTTTGTGGGTGTGAGCGTGGATATGGATGCTGTCCTCTATTAGCATCCACACCCACATCCTACATTACATCGTATGTAATTCTTATAGCATCTGATCATGCTGATTCTGATCCATGAATGTAAAAAGATGTTTGTCTACTAAATACATCTGATGAGACAAATTTGGCAATGTCGAAAGCATCATGACCATGTATGATACCTACATCCATATCGATACCACAAACTCTACGGTTGGATAGAATATCTTTCAATTTGTTTTCATTCAATCGCAATTTATTTGTAAGAGAAGAACAATAATAGCATAAAATTAATCATCGTAATAAGTTTATTCGATATGAAATCTTTGTATTCGATGATTACTACTATCGATGACATAGAGAGTGCCTTCTCAATCGAATGATAAACCAAATAGGCTATTCAGTTGACCATTTTCACCAACAATGACACTTTTCTGTCTGGCTCGTTTCGTCCAACGCATGATTTGATTATTCCCAGAATCCGCCACATAGATAGTACCCAATTGATCGACAACAACTCCTTCAGGCGCATTCAATTTTATAAGAGTATTTCCTTTTCTTTGACCACGGACTACGACAAGTCCTTGCCTTGCATCTTCTTTCCATTCCATTATACGATCATTTTGTCATTCAGACACATAAAATGAATGATCTTAATCGACAAATACGTAGTCGAGATTAGAGAATGGATCAAGAAGATTTACTTGCCAGTTGCTGCCAGCAACCACTGTCCCTTTAATGTCACCAATTTTATATCTTCTCATCTCATGTTTTCCACCATCAGCAACGTAGAGAGATCTATTCTCGTCCATTGTCAAACTCCAGAAAGAAATACTTGAAATTATTGTTTCTCAACTAGTGTCATTTCGACGAGGCCATCGGAATACCCTTTTATTCCCCCAGTCGTTGATGATAAGGCGATCATTCTCTGTGTCTCCATTCTATTATAGGGCTATTCCAGCAATCAGCGACAGAAATTTTTTGATCATCATCGACATACAAACCATATAGGTAATAAAATTGATTAATTCCACTGTCTTGCTCATTTCCTCCGACTGCAATTAGGCCATACTTTGACCACTTTGCATTCGGATGAATATCAATCGAACTCGCACGTTGGTGTGTTGAAATAAAACCAATAGTATGAAGAAGAAATAAAGGCTGATTTCATTGCAGTGGGTCATTCATTGGTTTTGAACAATATCGCAATTGCTCTGAATTACAAGCAATTATACTGATGACTCAATTAAAATCCGTATTTAGCGTGGGGGGTGGGTGTGGGTATAGAATAAAAATTGAATCACACGCACATCCACCTTTACGTTCTTGGTCTATAATGATGCATACATGAAAATACTATTTATGACTCAGCCCAATTAACATACGATTGATTTGAAACGAACTTGTTTAGTCGAGATCGTGAAATTTTGCTATAGTGAAGATAGGTTGTAGAGAAAAGGGTTCTGTGAATTTAGACCTCAGCGAGTATTGCCCCGTCGATATTTTCCGAGCATTTTACTAAAAGCTGTATAACTGATTCTTACTCCAAAGAGAAGTCTTGATACCACAATATTTTACCAAGGGTTAGACAGATTGAGCTGAAATTTTGTGAAGATATGTATCTCAATGAGTAGAACTCACATAAATTTTAAAAAACTCTTCTAAGAAAAACTGGCATCATGATAAAATATTTGATTGGAGAAGGCCTGGATGCGGACGCCAGAATTGAAAAAATATCTCGTTTTACTTTAAAACGATATTCTGACATCGGTTGATAGAAAATTTAATGCTTATCTTCACTGAATAAAATTTATCGCATTTAATAGAACTCTATTAGTAGATGTGAGCCATAATCGAACAGATTTCCTTGAAAATAGGCTCATTTTTTCGCGTTTTATAATGGGTCTCCTAGGACAACTGTTGCAGATCTAGTGATGCTTTCTAAAGAAACTAGTATCCCATAGTTGGTAGTTTCAACTAATAAAAACTAATATCCCATATAATTCATATCCTAGAAGAATTCAAAATCAAAAATCCTAATTTTCATCAAAAAACTGTTTCAAGAGGAACTCGTTGACTGAATAGAACAATATACAGTAAAACCTCTCTATTCTGAACACCACTGGGTCTTTCCTAAATCATTCATAATGATGGGGTGATCATATAGGAGGGATCATGCAAAAAAAATGTTTTTTTTCATTTAAACCACATGTTTTCATCTTTTACTATTGATCAACAGATTTTTATTCATTAAATTTGTACATTCCATATACAATATGAGAAAAAAGTTTTAAGTATCAAAAGTTTAAGTATGTGGATCAGGTGTATATTTAAAATATTCCAAGATGGATCTTTGTTTTGATGAATTGGAATCGAGAAAAACATCAGTCAGTTTAGATTGTAATTGAGTAATAAATGGATGAAGTTCTGGTTGTTGTGTTGTAGATAAAAGTCGAAGACGACGAACTAATTCTAAAGATTCAGCTAATGATGGTGGATCTTCACTTGGTAATTCTTCCAAATTTTCTGCATCGTCATTTGCAAGTCTGTTAATTGATAGAATTCTATCAGTTGAATCATCCCATTCGTTGCATGATGGTATTTGATCATCAGTGATCTGGATCTGAAATAGACAAAAGAAGAATGTCAGAATATGTTATCGAAAATTCAGTTTCAGATCTTACAACATAATCGTAGGCTGAAACCGATTTTCCACCAATCATTAAATGTTTGAGTACTCGATCGAGTTCCTCAATGGGTTTATTATCCATTGACATATCTCCATTGACACCTAAATTAATCGGAAACCCATCAATCCCCTCAATTATAGGAAGTTTTTCAAAACCAGCTGATCTAAATGTATTCCTAATACTAACTTCGGTTACCGCACTCCATGCAGCATCGATCCAGTATACAGCATCCAAAGCTGTTACACTAATATCATCGGCTGTCGTGGCAACAGTTGCATTAGCAATGATATGCTTCACCAAATAACGTCGATAATGAGCTTTGAATGCTCTAATGATGCCCTGATCCATAGGTTGTATAATGGCAGTTGTATTTGGTGGAGAGAATTTTAATTCAATATTTTCCAATTGAATATCTTGAGGGTGAACTGGTGCGTTATCAAGAAACATTAAGACATGTCTTTTTTGTTTTCGCATAGACACATCGAGATCTTCCAACCATTCTGTAAAGATCTTTGAATTCATCCATGCAGTTCGGTTGCTAAACCATTGTACTGGTAATCTTTTCATATCACTATTTTTGAAGCAGCATGGTTTAGCATATTTTTCTATAATGTGAATAGGAGAAAATTTATCGTAAAACAAAACTGAATAGAAATTAACTTACCAATTATAACAGGTTTTAGTTTTTCGCTTCCAAGCATGTTCGAACACAACATAACCGTATAACGATCTTTTGATCGTTTCTCACCACTACAATCATTTCTATCGATAACTAACGNTTTTAAGTATCAAAAGTTTAAGTATGTGGATCAGGTGTATATTTAAAATATTCTAAGATGGATCTTTGTTTTGATGAATTGGAATCGAGAAAAACATCAGTCAGTTTAGATTGTAATTGAGTAATAAATGGATGAAGTTCTGGTTGTTGTGTTGTAGATAAAAGTCGAAGACGACGAACTAATTCTAAAGATTCAACTAATGATGGTGGATCTTCACTTGGTAATTCTTCCAAATTTTCTGCATCGTCATTTGCAAGTCCGTTAATTGATAGAATTCTATCAGTTGAATCATCCCATTCGTTAAATGATGGTATTTGATCATCAATGATCTAAAATAGACAAAAGAAAAATATCAGAATATGTTATCGAAAACTCAGTTTCAGATCTTACAACATAATCACAGGCTGAAACTGATTTTCCACCAATCATTAAATGTTTGAGTACTCGATCGAGTTTCTCAATGGGTTTATAATCCATTGATATATCTCCATTGACACCTAAATTAGCCGGAAACCCATCAACTCCCTCAATTATAGGAAGTTTTTCAAAACCAGCTAATATAAATGTCTTCCTAATACTGACTTCAGTTACCGCACTCCATGCAGCATCGATCCAGTATACAGCATCCAAAGCTGTTACACTAATATCATCGGCTGTCATGGCAACAGTTGCATTAGCAATGATATGCTTCACCAAATAACGTCGATAATGAGCTTTGAATGCTCTAATTATGCCCTGATCCATAGGTTGTATAATGGCAGTTGTATTTGGTGGAAAGAATTTTAATTTAATATTTTCCAATTGAATATCTTGCGGGTGAACTGGTGCGTTATCAAGAAACATTAAGACATGTCTTTTTTGTTTTCTCATAGACACATCGAGATCTTCCAACCATTCTGTAAAGATCTTTGAATTCATCCATGCAGTTCGGTTGCTAAACCATTGTACTGGTAATCTTTTCATATCAATATTTTTGAAGCAGCGTGGTTTAGCATATTTTCCTATAATGTAAATGGAAGAAAATTTATCGTAAAACAAAACTGAATAGAAATTAACTTACCAATTACAACAGGTTTTAGTTTTTCACTTCCAAGCATGTTCGAACACAACATAACCGTATAACGATCTTTTGATCGTTTCCCACCACGACAATCATTTCTATCGATAACTAACGATCGATCAGGCATTAATTTATAAAATAATGACGTCTCATCCAGGTTAAAAATATTACAAGGATCATAATGTTCAATAATTGAGTGTAAACGCACCTTCCAGTCGTCTACTGTACTTGTATCCACAGCCCAAGCTTCCCCAC